GTTGGAATGGAAAACATTGTATGATATATAAAATAAAATCATCATTAATTAAGATTTACAAACCATACAGCATACCTTTTTATTCTATTTGCTTTCTTTTAAGTATATCATTATAAACAAATTAGTGCGTAATCATGCCTTTGCAATTTAAACAGGCATTTTATAGTATTTAACAAATACTAATTTATCAGAATCTACACATCATTTTAATAAGGCTGTAAATTTAGCTAGTATGTATTGTTTCTTTTTAAACATTTTACGTAAATTCAATGTCTAACAATCATGAATGTTGGTATCGTTTTCTTTACAAATGTAAGAAATTTGTTGTGTTTTATCTCAACCATAACTATAAATATTTTATTGGCATCATTGCATCAAACAATTCAGCTCTTTATCTTTGCCATCATTTAAGTTTAGTGCGGAGGAAGGTACTCTAGTACTGGTGTAACTCTCCAGGAACGATGGTTAGGAAACTACCCGCCTATATGACTGAAATACTGTTGGGAAAAGGCGTAAAATGAAACAAACAAACAAAACAAAACTGTAACTGTTTTTCTGATCAATATAAAGGCTAAAGTTAGGCATATGCAATAACTAGAAATAAGCAATAATTATGAATATGCAATAACTATGAACGATTTTTCTTCCTCTATGTCGTCGTTTATAACCTTTACATCCAGTTCTCAGGAATTACATGCTCTATCAATAATTGATGACCCAAAAGCGTTTCTTCCTAGAATTACTGGAACTGGTTGGCAATTAGCTCTGTTGAATAGCTCCAAGGTGCAAACATCTAACACATACTAAATGAATATTTCATGTCCATGTCTTTGACACCAGCCGTTTGGGTAACAACGTTAATTGTCTACAAGAAAATCTTGGAAATATCTCGTAAAAATGGTCATACTATCGACCACTTCATAACATTACATTTATTCTATTTTTCTCAAGGTATACCGACACATCAAAATAAGGCTGCTATATTCATTATCATACCCCTACCAAATAATAAAGAATTGATATTGACCTTTTTGTACTCTATAAAATTCAAAAATATGTTGTTTTCATTCATTGGATACTAGTGCAACTTCAATCAATTGTAAGTTACACGGTAATCGATACACAGATCTGCGTTATTCAATAAATTGAATGTCTTTGTAGGTTTTGTTATACAATACATGTTTTCTTTTGTCAACTCATTTGTTGCATTAGACTTTGTTATTGCAATAAGTCATGACATAAAAGGTAAACATTCTGAAAGAGAGTGAGTATTCGTCAGACTTGTGTAGAAATGTAAAACTAAAATCGCACTGGCAGTGATCAGTAGAGGGTTAAGTATAAACATATCTGTTTCTCTAGGAAATAAGGGCCCATCAATCTTGAGGCCAAGATAGTGATATTTGTATTGTCACTTATTTTGACGTTTTCCTGTCCTTAGTTAATATCCGTATCAGTTTTAGACATTTATAAATAGTTTGACCGTTTCTAAAAGAGCTTGGGTTGTTGGGAACTTAGTCATTTTGCACAGGTGTTTTCCATCTTGTGACCTCAGTATAATAATTGGTATACTATAAAACTTACTTCATATGTAATCTTCCTCATTTTCTGTTTGTGGGCAAATATATGTATATGGAAATAGTATGATAAATGTTTTTCTTCTTGACATTTTATCAAATAATACATGAAAAATCTTGCCTTTTAAAAAAACAACTTTATCACAAAATACCACAAAACATAACATTCAATAGACCATTTAACTCCGTACAGATGAACTAGCGTCTGATAAAAGAAAAACATGGTGTACATCATTATTTTTCATAAATTGTTCTGGTATTTAGTCAACCTACATATATTAATATGACACGGGAACACTCAGCTCTCTGTCTTTAACCAATGAAGAATGTTGTGAAAAGTCGTGGGATCAGATGTTCCGTGTTTTGTCTAGAGGAGATAAAGATCTGTTTTAGACCATTAATGTGTTAGTATCATTGTCATCATACAATAATGATATGTTTGTTAAAATGTGACATAAGACCTAAACTAGTATCGTGTGTCCATTTAAAGCGTTTAAAACTCGAGCAGACGAAACTTTTCTAACATTAGTTAATCGGTATTTTGCGATAACAATTAGATGTTAGTGATAATATGCTGATAAAATGTTGTAATACTTAAACATCATTTCAATATTTGTGTAAAGATGGTGTTGATATTTTCTTAAATATGTCATTTATGGATGTTGATACTTTCTTGGTAAGTCATTGACTGTTTCTTTACCATTTTGTATAATGATGTAAGATCAAGACTTAGTAAACTTACGTTTAATTAAGGACAGTTTGTTGTATGCGTTGGAGATTCAAAGGCCTTTAAAAGGCTAGAGATGTGCTAATCAGTTTATTCTTCCGGGATTTTGAACCTTAATTTCCAACTTCATCCTCACTGCAGGACACTATACCTGTAGCTGACTTATGACAAATAGCGAATCTTGATAACAGAAGTCTGTAGACACCCCGCTTGTTAAAGTTACTATTTTTCCTGTGATACGTGAGGGGACAAGTCAAACTGCCGTAATTTCATACAGTCTTGAATTCATAAGACTATGGTCAGCCATTTCTTGAGTTTTTTAATCGGGTAGAAACGGCGTTTATTGATCTGACCCTGAAGTCTGTTGATTACAACAATTTCTTCAATCATACAAATGCAATAGAAGATATTTTTGAAAAGCAGCCGACAAATGGAAAACGCCCTTCAATATACAAATTGGTTTGAAAATAGAAGAGAGTGGATAATGATTTCTTTTATTGCACGTATTACACTTGAACGGTCCGTGAAATATTTTCTTTTAAATGTTTTCGTGTATATTCCTCTTTATGCTTTTTTATCGTGAAATATGTTCAGTGTCCTTTAGATTAGGTATTCTTGGTGTATATTATCATATCTTGAAGACGATAAAGTTAGTTTTAAGTGCCCTTATCTGTCGTATGATTTGCTGAAACAGTTAGATATATCCTAAAATTACATGTTTAATAGTGATCTTACTTTAATATTATGCTGATTTATTCAAACCTGTGACTTGTTTTGTAAGTTTTTATTGTTTTCTTTTATCAATTTACGATGTTTTACCTGTCAACAATGTTTGCATGTCATGATTAATAATTTCGACATTGATACTTTCGAAATATTTCCGATGGTAATAAAGTTACACGAACAATGGCAATTTTTATTGACCTAAAATGTCAGAAAAACTTGTAATTACATGTTCTTGTTCTTTAAAAATATCTTCACTTCGGTTTAAGTATAATTTTCTTTTTTTATATTACAATATGTAGTTGCTTTTATTTTTTCATATTCGTTTTCGTTAAACTTAACAAACCAAATAGTTCACCCAAGAAGAGTACTGCCGTAAATCAGACTTGTTTTAATTATACCCCGAATGTTAAAAACTATAGATAAACATTATTCTTAAATGTTAAAATAGATGTCAAATGCTTCTTGTTTTGGAATATATATGTTTAAGGAGGACTGCACTTGGGTTTCGTTTTCTTTCGATATCTTTTAAGATGTTTTTATACAAACATTTTCATACATCGTTATATTTCATTATGTTGCGTGTTGAAACTTAAAAAAAAAACCCAAACAATACCACACTTTTCTTCTTTAATTATTATCTGTAGTAAGCATAAATCTTTTTACATTATGGCACAAGTTAAGAAATATACTATAGATTATAACTATTGATTACAAATATGAGCCGCGTCACGACAAAACCAACATAATGGGTTTGCGACCAGCATGGTCAGTTTCATATCAGTTTCTCCAATTGTAATAGAGTTGGTAAGCGAACAGCATGGGTCCTGATCAGACTGCGCGGACGCGCAGGCTGGTCTGGATCCATGCTGGTCGCAAACCCATTATGTTGGTTTTGTCATGACACGGCTCATATATTAAATCGCATCTAAACATGTATCTCAAATATTTAATTAAAGTCAGTTGCATGTTTAATATCATTTTGATGACATAATATTAAAATATTTTGACATGAGATAAGCGTTTTATAAATAAACGTTCGACCTGTCTAATCGATTTAACATATAATAACTTTAAGATGATTTATTATCTACCACTACGGTGTGTATTACCTTTCCAGCGGTCATTACGGCTGTCATTCTGTCAACTAATAATCTGTCAATCATTAACATTTAGTCAATAAGATATAAAATATTTATAATCTATAATAACATTAATAAGAAAAGGTTAAGTCGATCCATTTAGTACGGTGTTATAATCATTCGAGCAGTAACATGTTTTTGTTTATCTTTTAAAAAGAACTTCAAATCAATGGTGCCGGGAAAAAGTGCGTTTGAGCAAATGATCGATAAAAATGGTTATAGTAACGCGCTTATAGTGTTGTACTTTTAGAAAGTTTTAATTAATGGTTGGATTTTACGGCCTAAAGTTGTGATCGTGAGTCGTCGAATCGTCCCCGTGGTGTCAGACTTGAAGTCTGACTCCCTAATTTAGAATGTACACGTGCAGGAAGTAAAGATGAGACATTTAAACTTGACAACAACGTGTTTATTTTGTTTTGATTGTATTTGACAGGTATTTTATTATTAAAATTGTCCGTCCGACTATTTCAATACAATAACGCTAGACAACTTTAATTGATTTACTGACGGTAAAATGTCCTTTTGTTATACATTGTTCAAAAAACTTATTCATCCTATTAATCGCTTTCCTTAAAAAAAAATGAATACTTTTAAATGTATCAATAAACGCAAAATAGTTTATTATATAGTTTTGAAGAAAAAATTACTTCACATTAAAATTTTAAATGAAACTTATCGATTGTGAAATTTGAACCCTACATTTTTCTACCAAGCTCGCCGCAAATCTACCCGTCAGTTTGATGTTCAATAACATTGCACCGGCAGAAATAAGATACCAGGGTCGACAAGGGTATAAAAAAAGATTATTATTTGAACATCGGAATGTTACACTGTTTACAGCTTTTAGGGGCACTCGACCGAAGGTGTTCGCTATTTTTGTATTGTATTAAGCTTTACGTTTAAGGCGATGCGGTGTAAATATTTTTATATGACACTTTTTATATCGTGCTGGAGTGACTAATACCGCGTTATTACTGTATGTGCACACTATTATGGTGTTTTGAAGTGCGTCTATTGCGTGGATTTATTTGTGAAAGACAGATCTTAATCTTTTTTGATGAGACTTAAAAGTGCATGGATTTACTATGTATATTTGACATTGATCGAAATACATATAAATGACGATTAAAACGCTATGTAAATAAAGATGTTAACACCTAAGGCGCATTCCTACACAAGTCGGCTGAAATATGATTAATAATTAATCTTCCGCGTCCGTTAATATTTAGATCAATATATAAAAAATGCGTACCAGTGTGAAGTACCTGGGACACTGTCACGTGTTCAAATCTAATGTACCTGCTACATACCTTTAATAATATATACTTTTAAGTCTCCACGGTAAATTAAAGACATACCGACCATTGATTTTTTGATACCGGCCTTTTAAAATGTTTAAATTGGATTTTACCTTAAACACGCTTAACAATAACTGACAGTGTCCTGACACGGGAATGTAGTTATATGTATTTAATGTATATAAATTAGTCGGCGATGTTTTATAAATTGACTTCTGTTTGTATTTGATATTTCACATATTTGTGAGGTGACATTTTACATGCTCGTGTTAAATAGCAGCGGTGGTACGCAGGTCGGGAGACGTGTATCTGTGTAACACTTTTACACTGGTGAGGAATTAACTCACGTTTTAATTAAAGGGCAATCTTTGGAATATTGTTGGCTTAAGTGCGCCGATATTTGCTTGAAACTAATCCTCACCAACACTTCGGATAATAACTGTCACATGGGTTCTAGGATTGAAAGTGGGGAAAAAGTTGTCGTACTGTGAATAAAATCAAAGTAACTTACGGAGGATTTTGTTTCTGATTTCGTGTACACAATGGGTAAGACATTTTCAATTTATGATGGCAACTTTTGATATGTGTTTTACAATGCTTTACTTGTTATTAAAATACTTTTGCAATTTCTTCTAGGTTGACCCATATTTTAGGCTACATCGATTAGACTATATTGTGAGCGTTAGTTTAACATTATGTCGGACATCTTATTAAATATTACCGATAAAAGTCGTACAACATTAATTAAGATACATTTCTGCTATTTCTGCTGTACCATTTTTGAAAATAATTTTACTCTTGAGATGAAAAAACAACAACTTTTTTTTAACTTAAATAATTTATTCACATGTACTTTTTTTAATCTATCCAAATTGCATACTTCTGTATTTACGTTTTATTATAAATTAATTAATATTTACTGCTGATACTAAATAAGTTTAAAGTTGTTTTTTTTTCAACGGAAACCAAAAATTAATTTAAGATAATTGAAGTAAATGTATAATATAATAAATACGACCGAACACTTTATTCATACATGACATTATCATATATACATATGATTGTGCTTTTCAGTGTCTCAAGAAGTAGAAATAACATGTTAATAAATAGAAAATATCGTTGTTTTTTCACGTTTTTGTTTGACCCAAAGTCACAGAGCTATATTTCAGTAGTAAAGTCCCTGCCAAAGTTAACTTTCGGTCATCACTATCTAACCCTGTTTATTAAAACATTTATCATCTCTGTTATAGTTCAAGTTTAATCAGGAAAAAAATACTACCAGTCCCTCGGTTTTGTAAGACTTTGTTGCGTGACCTTTCAGGTGAAATAGCACGAAAAGAAACGAAATGACATCCATTGTGAAATTGGTTATCTGAAAAAGGCCGACGTCAAATTTCAATACTCTGGAACGACAAAGAAAAATCCATCGAGCTTTGAGCGCTGACTCAGGATTTTAGTTATAAATATTAAATTGTCCGTAAATCTAGATGGGATAATAGTGTTTATCGGGGTATTTTAATCTATTAAATTTCAGTTTCAAAGCGAGGTAATAACAGCTATATAAATGTGGGAAAATAGAACACAAGATTTGCTGATAAGGGACCTGCAACATTTTTTAACCAATTTAAGCTAAATATATGTAAAATGTAGCAATTAGGATATTTCCTCAATTTATATACACGCATGGAATTGCACACATCCCATGTGTCTTTATTATATTTATTAAAAGCAATGTTCAATTAAACACTTTACAACTTTTATTAAGTCAATACAAAAGCCATGAAACCCCACTGCCCTGAAAAGTAGTTTCAATTTTCTTTGACTCTGGTAAAAATATGACATTTGCATACATTAGAATGAAAATAAAAACAGATCCAGAGTAATTCTGAATATTGGTTGAAATGATTTGTGCTATTATGACTTAAAGTGCTATTATATATTATTCAATAAAGTCGATTATCTAGCTATTCTATTTATTAAGAAAACCACTTTTCTTTCCCACTCCCCATTGACACTTTTTGTCGATCGCTATCAGTTTCTATAATTTCACTAAAATATTATAATTCAAAACTGTACATTTCAAAAGAATATTTGAACATTTAAATCGATGATTTATCCGATAAAAGTCAATAATTGCTTTTAAATGCCGTCCACTTATTGACATAAATTGATAATAATTGTTTACAAAAAGATATTAAATTGATTCATGTTCACATTGAAATTGGCCAAAAAAATCATGAATTTGGTATTTGATAGAAAGATTGCATGCCAGTTCACGCAATTTCATTATCTGGCCTCCCGTTATCTTCACACTTCAGATTCTTTACTTATGTATTATCGTCTATTCAAGTGCTCGTCCCCGTTTAAATCTTATTTATTGAAGTTAAAAATTCATATAGCAACAACTTTCGAGTACAAAAGACCCATGCAAAGTTGGTTTTTTATTGTATGACGGCAGATCTTTTTGATGTAGACCAGGAATGATATATATTTAACAAGCGTTTTTAGAATGTGAACCAATTTACGTGGATATTTTAAGAAAGGAAGAGGCGTCAGATTGCGTAACTTTTTACATTTCTCTTTTTATAAATTATATTTATTAAATTCTTTTTCATGTTTTCCAAAAGTTAAAAAGCTTTGTTAAACATTTTCCGTCGAGTAGAGTAAATATTATGATTTATTTTTATTTATTTTTGAATTGATTGAAATAAAAAGTTTAGAGATTAGACGTGAAAAAAGTAAATTTGAAATATTGCATTATTTGTTTTCAGTTGTGAGAAATTTCTAAATTCCTTTTAAAGATAACAAGTGTCAAAATAAAAAAGAATGAAAAAGCTTTATTCCTTTATTTATTTGAACCAAATTTTCACAAATTCTTAGAGCATACTTTATATTATTGCAAACGTGTAATCATTGTACAACATAAAATAATGTTAGCTTAGGGACATGTTCTTTCCCCTGATAAAGGAAAGGGTTCTTGTTACAATATTTGCCGGGAAAATTATGCACGTGCTACATTCTTGTTTATATTTAAATTTGCGATTTCGCGTTCATAACAACAGCTGAAGTTATTTCATGTAAAATGCTTAATTACATTGTATATGGAAAACATGATACCATGCTTTTATATATACTCATGTACATGTATATGCCTTAGATTGTGTGTAAGAACAACGTTCTATTTTGCACAATTTTAATGTATACAGTTTGTAAGTAAGATATTAAGGGTTTCTCAATTTTGTAGTTTAATACTTAACAAATGTACCAGTTAAATTTGACACTGTTCGGCGTGTAGTTTTTTTTTGGATATATTTTCTTCAACATTTAAGTACTTTTCTTCAAATAATATTGCCCATAAATGAAACTGTTGGTTATTTTATTCATATAGCTTGAAATGATTTATTTACTAAAAAAAGTGTACACGAAACGACGAGACAATATTTGTAAATTGTGTAAGAGAACATGTATTTCTATTTGCAAGACCCGGTTAGAATTAATTTTAGTCAAAATGATGTACGCGAACACGTTTTGTATGTTAAACAACACTGTATAACATGCGTTCATGATTACACATTTACTCGAGCGCGAGCAACCATACGACATTTTATGGTTTGTTATTTACATATCTCATTTATATTGAAATCTTGACCACGAGGTCGTGATTGTCCATTATTGCCTGGCTACTGCATATTAAAACTGACCATACTGTAGTTTCTTTTCACCAGCATATTTGATCATAGATTAGTAAATATAACTTCGCCTTGCATTTCTTAATATGTTGTCAAGTATGCGGCGTTAATTTCTCGTCTGCGGTGTTTACGTTTGTATCGTGTTACACAATGTCCGTGACTATTTGCGCTTCTAGAATATTTCTAATCATCAACTCTCTGAAGTGACCGACAGGCCTGTGCCTTGTAAGAGAACACATCCTTTGGCCTTGAAAAAAAAACACCATTTTTTTGTATTAAACTTTTCTTAACAATGGGCTTTTTCTAAAAGCCTGAAAAGTCCATTAAGCAAACATTGCGTGGTTAATGTTAAACAAAGTTTCAAATGATGTCGTTGAATTTACAGTATAACAATTAAACGAATATTTACATTGAAATCAAGAAACCTAACATATGGTCAAAGCTTAATAAATTGTTGATTTTTTCGACCAAGCTATTCAAAACAGAGCTTATCTAGATTTCAATTCATGTCAACATTTCTTTAACAATAATAAGTCATTCAATAATAAAGTTTTCCTGCAGGAAACATTTTATAGAGGATTTCCACTTAGTACTTTAATAACTATTGACCTTTTACGCTTAACTTGCTTTTGACATTTATATTGAATGTCAAGAAAACAAAAATACTAACCGCAAATAAGTAAAATGCATTTACATTATATCCTCTGAAAATACCCCACGGCAATTTCGCCGCCAGATGGATTATCGTTCTTTGGTCTCCTGTCAACGGCAATTATGTAGAAAGCGTTTCATGTCCTTAAAGCAATATTTCTACTTGTATATAGTAGCTAGATTTTAGATAAGACCTAATAATAATGTCAATGTTTATTTTACAAGTGTCCCGCAAACATCACGTTCATTATCGCATCACGTGATTTTGATTTGGGAGTAATAAAATTTGTATAATTGATTTTACATTTTTTTTATTTGAGAAAATAAGAGACAGTTCACAACTATGTGTTAGAAATATTTATTATATGGAGAGAATATTTTGATAGATCATTGTAGCTTTTGTAAAAATGTTTAAGAAAATATTGATCTTAATACATCTATTAAAAAATGGAATGAAACGCCTTTGATAGTGTCAACATATTATTATTATTAAAATATATAATTTATATTTTCAGATGAACTGGAGTCGACTACGAAGTAGCGGAAACGAGCACGTTTTCAAAGGTTCCCAACTCGTTACAAGCATACTAGAACGGCATCCAAAACATTTCAGAAGCCGGGCAACAGCTTTGAAATTTTGTCGGCAACTCTTTAATGACGGTATATTAAAAGGTGTTTTTGGTGCAGATACTTTCGAAGACTCTGTTCAGTTGTACACTTGGAAAGATCAGAATGGTACCAGCATGACGTCATATCCTGTAAATCAATCAAAAAAGAACTACGGTTATTCAAGTGCCGATATTACTCTTACTAAACGAGATTTGTATAAGCAAAAGGAAACTATAAAGCCAGTTGGAGGTTCAAGAGATAAAATTCAAACTCACAATCCTTACGCCCATGATGTAAATGATTACTTTAAAGACATTCAGAATGGAATTTGCGCAGACGACAACCATCCTGTGACAAAACACTTGCAGCACCCGCACATGTCTAGTTACCAGACGACATGGAACCTTCAGAGAGCTAGCACAGCTTCTAGTGAAAGTTCCATCGACATTTTATCTCACTCGTACGGAAAACATAAAGACAAAACACTTAAATCATCCTTTAGTATACCCATCATGTCGCATTCACGTGATCATGACGTCATACCGGAAGAATCTCCGGAAGAACATGTGCCCGTAATGGAACGGACTGGAACTAGCACGGAATATGACGGTTCGTCTAGTATTCCTCGCAGTGTAACCACAGACGCTTCAGGTTTTAATGAAATGGAAGGAGCTGCACATCACAGACGCTGGCAACAAGATTATCAAAATTCTTACTCGGACAACGAGAAACAGTTAATAGAACAAATGAAAAGAATGAAAAAGGAACATTCACATATTCTTAGGACTTACGAAGATAGAATTAATAAACTTATGGCTAAAATGCACGAGTTACGGAGTATAGCAGAAATGCTAGAAAATTCAAGTACGAAATCATCACCGTACGGAATGATGGCCAACAAGACTGGTGTCCTAAGTTTTTTGAGTAAGTACAATTTTGAACTTTTTTTGTGTATCTTTTATCAACTTTTTCTTTCTTGTTTTTGACAACTATAGCAATACCATTATGTGCAGGAAACAAAGCAGCTAATATCCCATGTACAGATAGAATTTCAGTTAAGTCTGGTAATGTCCTCACACGGTGTGTCATACGTTGGCACCGGAAGTACAATTATTGGCAGGTTTTCTGACTAATAGTGAGATATCATGCTAATTTTCTGTGAATCAAGCAAAATATTAATTTTGTTTCCTCAAATCTCAAGCCGCATGCTTATAAATCAATTACTGGACCGTGATATGAATCAACTGTCCAGTTCTTATTGATTTTCAGGCAATCGAAAATGTTCGGTATAATTGGCTTAAATTTTGTTTGTGCATCTTCGTCAACTGATGCTGGAAACGAACGAAGAATAACCGCATGGCCGGTGAATTAGTGGCTTACAATCAATAATTCGGTTTTGGTTTAACATCTAATGAGCAGTATTATCATTTTAATTATGAGCTTTGAAGTTGGAAGGCGGAGATTTTAGTATCGTGTGCATGACATCTTTTGATCTTTTCATCGTTTGTTGCATGAATAGTTTGATTCGTCTGTAACAGATACTTAGATGTGCACTTCTATAAAAAACGTTTTCAAGAGATATTTCTTGGCTGCAGATGCTAAAGCTGATGCAGATAGAAAATTATCGTCTGCAATTACCGGAAATGACGTAGATAACCCGCCACCACTTCCTCCGAGACCTGGCAGGGGAAACAGACTGAACCCAAATAAACCTATCATACAAACGGATGCAAAAATGAAGCCTTTCCCATGGACAAGAATTATTCTAAGAGATGACAGTAAGTTTGTTTTACTTATGTATCTATGAATTACTTCGAAGACTTGGGCGTTTCCACAGATGAAAAAAATGAGATCAAATAGACATGGATAATTCAGTTACTTTAATAGATGATGTTTATATTTTTGTGTGCAACATTTAACTATTATTAACATCCTCTTTATGTATCTAATAATCGGCTCAACAATGATGTATTTTTTTGCTAAAATAGATTAAACAAACGCCATTTTATGTATAAGATTGCTGTACTACAACACATCTCTTTCTTAAACAGATTAAAGAAACAAAATACTACTGTGGTTGACAGACTGAACAATACAAACTATTTGTAAAATATTTAGTTATAATTTACGATGTTAATATTTCAGTGCTACATGCGTGACTTTTGTATGTACATGACATGTGACATTGTTTTTTTAAAATAAGGTTGTAATTTATGAGATCAGAAAAACAAGGCAGTGCATATAACGAAATTGGTGAAAATAAATGAAAAAAACAAACAACAAAAAACAATTTGCAAGCCCTACTGGCCCTATCAGTTTGTTCCATTGACGGCATCGTCATGGTTATCATTTTTGCTTGAATTTGTTTTATTTGGCTTACCTATTATTATTTTTTGTAAATCTTTTTTCATATTTTTTATTTATTTATCAATTTTAATATTAAATGTACATGTAGATACATCTCTATGAATTGAGACTGCGGATTTATTATTTATTTATTTATTTATTTATTTTTGAAAGATGGAAAATAGCAAGTCACGTATAAAAAAGTTCATTCAAATTTAAAATGCAACTTAAACGTGATTTTAGGATTTTTAGTTTCCAAACAAGCTAACATACCAAAGCTGTCTAGATTACAATATTGAAAAAAAGTTCTTAACGCCATTCGAATTTATGAAATGATATTGTCTTTTCTTTCATTTTTTTTCTTTAACCTTTATTGTATAATTTATTTTGTAACTATGTAAGTTTTTGACATCATATAGTGGGTCTTAATTTTTCAAGCTTTGTAGGGTTTTGAAAATCAGCCTTTCATAAAGTGTTCGATTACACTTTATGAATAATTAAAGTCGCATAAATGTATCTTTACTACCATAATAGTGTATCACCAACCGTGTGACTAAGTGCATTAACATAAACTAAAGAAAAGCAATTAATATGCAATTACACAGCGTCTATAATATACCTTTCATCACCATTAAACTACAGTTAATTTTTGCCTTCCGGAGATAATAGGCCGATTGTTTCTAGATAGTTAATTAAGATAGCTCTAATGATAAAATATTTCCGTTCAATTTGTTCATGAACGCCAGTATACGAACCATAAAGAAATCGATATATCTCTAGAAATGGGTGATTTGAATACAAAATGTACATTAAATAAAATGATAATATGAATGATTCTGAAATGCACTGCTGAGTCTGAATTTATTAAATGTATGTATATCAACATATTTGATACTAATACATTATATTATTTTGTATATTTAAGAATTTAAGACAGCACGTGATAGTAAAGACGTGTGTCATATTGTAAATAGTATGCCTATGGTCATGTTTGTCGAGCATATTTTTGTATTTATTTTTCAAATCATCACAGGTGTTCCGTTTAGTTTTGTACAACCATGAAAACATATATTTTCAAGTATTTCTAAAATCCACACATTTAGAGGTATTCGTTTTATGAATGTTGATAAAGATAGAAGTCCAACATTACGGTTTATGCAAGAGAAAGAACGTTGGGGCTGTTTCACTGATTTTGTACAATCTGTACACAGATATATCAAGAAAAAGGAAAATTGCTTGGTTGATGTTTATGTTAAAAACAACACGAACAATTTCATTGTATTGCAGCAATTGTATTCGTTGTTTATTAAACAAAAAACTCTTTAATTCTTTTGTTTTAAAATATGCAGGATTTTCTCTATTTTTTTTTATTTATATCGGTTAGGTTTTTACAGAAAACTTTCTATAATGTTTACATATAAGAATTGTTTCTGTAACGAAATTTATGTACTACTTTTGAATCTGAATATGTTAGTTTCTGTATTTAAAGTTTGTCTTTTGTACTGTTTTTAAGTATCAGTACTTTATTTAGTTAGCTAAGATTTAGTTACTTTTACATTGAACTTTTCATGCGGCATTTAACATACACATTCGGACCTAACACTTAACTACCAGCTTAAATTATAGACAAATCTGCCGCAACGAAAATAAATATATTTATCCGCTATCATATTTCACAGCTTAAAATTTATGTTTAAAAATGCTGAATTTGAAGTTTTCTTCCAAATACCGTAGCGGTTTAACTCCGTCGCGCCCGAATAACATCTATGATATTTAAATTGAATAAAGTTAAGGCGACCTACTTTTATATGTATGGAATATCATCCTTTTTTATAAAACAGCTGGTAAAATAATCGGAATTAATCTGTGTGGAATAAAAGCTGTAGAGGTATTTCTTGGTTAAAATTGCTTTGTTTATCTGAAAGTTATATCCATGCATTCATTAAGTGTGAATTTGGCGATTAACATTCAAAACAGAGACTGTTTATTATTTGTTTACCATTTAGGTCAGTTGTTTACAAGATTGATGATGTAATGTAAGGATGTACAAATATTGGTGGAAAAAATTTATACAGATAAAATCATGTTCTTTAATTACATGCGCAAGGCATTAAAACAGTTTTATTTTCATAATGAAGATGAAAATAGAAAAATGTAAAAAAATATTATTCTGACAGTTATAGTTTCTACTGTTAGAGTTATTTAGTTTCATCATGATGATGAAAATACAAAAAGAAAATGTCAAAGGAATTTAATTCTGACAGTTATATTTTCTATTGAGTTTTTTTTTAAATCTTAAATACTTGTTGTTGTTGTAGTTTAAGATTATAATAACGAAACCTTTTATGGCCGTTTCCATCTTTATAATACAATATGTGAAATAAAGCATGTAAACTATTTATGAACAGCGATATAGTTGTTTTTAATTTATCTGCACATAATACACGTTAAAACTGCTGACGATATATTTTTTCTATATATTTGATATTTTAATAAACAATTGGTTGCTATGGTTACTATAGGCACTGATGAGCAGACGACAATATGGCATACAATGATGGAACCGAAACTCGACCCTGAGGAAATTGAAAGGTAAGAGGACACCTAAATAAGAGCCAAACGATTAATATGCCTTTTATTTCTATAACAACGTAGCAACATTTCTTAGCTGACAACTTTTATACGAAAGATTCTGTGTAAGAAAGATAGGAATTAGGTGCTTTAAATATCGTTTAATAAGAGGCTAAAATCTATTTTACTAATACGATTTCTTAAGGTGTGAAAACGTTTTACAATTATAATTATTGATTTTAAGATATTATCAGTTTCTCTGATATTTTCTTGTATCTGGTAATAACTTAATGAAAAAAATCCTGAACATTTTACTTTTAATTGAAACACATCTTCTGTCACATTTTATTGGAATATGGCTCTTCTTATGAGGCTAAATAGTTTTGTTGTGTCTAACTTATAACCATGGATTTAAACAACTATTTTAGATTGTTCAGTACTCAAGTGGTCTCACAGACGGACGGTGCTACACTCTACGACGATCTCATTATCCGACGGGGACGATCGCGTCAACAGGTTAGTATAAATAATAGTAATAATAATTATAATAATAATAATAATAATAATAAGAAGAAGAAGAAGAAGAAGGAGAAGAAGAAGAAGATGAAGAAGAAGAAGAAGAAGAATGATGATGATGATGATGATGAAGATGATGATGATGGCGACGATGACGATGATAATAGTAATGGTGATGATGATGATGATGATGATGTCATTAGTCAAGATTTATTTTACTTGTATTTTATTTTAACAGATTTGGCAAATGCCACTAAATGCAATAATAATTATTTAATTACATACCTTTAAATAGTAGTAGTAGTAGAAGAGGTAGTTGTATATTGTAGTAGTAAAGGAAGAAACATTCTTTAAGGTTTCAAGCAAACAAAAGACACAAAATATGTATAAGGACATGCACGCAACTTTATCATATATGTAAATCGGTATTTCGTGTGTTTTCAAGTAATTTATTTACCCTGTTAACAGTTGGTAAGCGTTTACGATACAGAGAGGTCTAAACGTATAGTTGTATGCATGAAGTGCCTCCGTGCAACCCTCAATGACGTCGTAGCCTCGGTATCTAGCCTCGACACGTCACAGATTAACCACGAGGGCCTGGCCGAACTTATGGAACTGCTGTCACCGACATCAGACATTGATAAGATATTGTACCACGTCAGGAAGAAAGGGGCTGGTACGTGGTATCTTTTATAATCATATTACTGTTGTTAAGAAAAATTATGGCCGTACATACATAGTGAATAGTGAATTTGAAACATTCCAATCTATCTTAGTTGTAAGCGACATGTTTTTACAATGATGGTTCTATATAGCCTTATTTATTAAAAGTACTACCCTAAAGTTTTGTTTCAATGTAATAGTTTGTTAAAATTTGCCGGGAGACGCCTATTTCATCAATGGCTCTTGTGGTATCAAACTGATCTTATATATCCTGATTAATGTTCTATGTAGAATGAAATAAAAAGAGCCAAAGCACAGTCAGAGAGCATTCAGATTAAACCAGATTAATACAAATAATGTATACAATGATCTTGTATGTTTTTTTTGTTGTTCTAGGTCATCTCGATCATCCAGAATATCTTGTGTTCGAGTTATCCAAGGTTGATCATTTCAAAGATAGACTAGAGTTTATTCGATTTCGCTTTAAACTACTCTGGCATCTATTTGAAATTGGTAAGTTCTATATTTAACCTATTTGTATTGCAATTATGAGCCGCGTCACGACAAAAACAACATAGTGCGTTTGCGACCAGCATGGATCCAGACCAGCCTGCGCGTCCGCGCAGTCTGATCAGGATCCATGCTGTTCGCTATCAGTTTCTCTACTTGTTAAAAGGTTTAAAAGCGAACAGCATGGATCCTGATCAGACTGCGCGGATGCGCAGGCTGGTCTGGATCCATGCTGGTCGCAAACCCATTATGTTGGTTTTGTCGTGACACGGCTTATATTACGAGTATCATGTTTCTCGTCCTAATCAATGCAGGTTGCAAATATGAAAAGAGGATGATAAAATGATAGATCGTCTGTACAAATGTATACGTTCATTGTAAGAACTTACTGCAGTTGCCATGCACTTGAAATATTATTGAAACAAAATCTGACAACGCCCACAATAATTGCGTAATGTAATTAATGCACGTTTTTATTTTGTTGTATTTTTTTGGAACTAAATATGTGTACGACAGGAGGAAATAGGGAAAAAAGAAAATGGATTGCAACTGATGATACAATTTATGTCTAATATGATTGATGCACCAGAAGTGAACAAAATGCAATTATAACAAAACTTATTCACTGTACACAATTAAAAATAGTAATTAAAAACAGATTCATCAGTACAAAAATGAACTAATAACAGAGAGTTTTTTCCCCAAAAACTTTCACGTATCTCACAGATAAATTTTATTTTACAGATCAACAACTAAGGGAACTCCACACTGCATGTGATGAAATTTCTAACAGGTAGGCTAATGCCATCTGAATAAATTCTTTGTTTTTACATTTTCTGCATTCTTGCATTTATTTAAAAATCGTTCAGTGAACAAGATTTAGTTCTTTGCATAATTATGATTTATATACGGCACGGAAAGTACCGACATTTGCCGAATATTTACGAAGTCTGTGATTAATGCATCTCTTCAACTCATAGAAAAGAATTGTTACTCACTTCCTTTTTTTTTCAATGTAAGTTTTTAAAGTAAATTAACGGACCAAATCTGAACAGAACATAATTTCAAAGGCATACAATAATAACACTCAAATAATAAACCTACTTTAAATAGACCTGTAACTAAAGAACAATATTCCCTCCAATATTGAAGCACTTCTTTGAAGAATCTGTTAGAAACTCTTCTAGCTGTGGGGAACTACCTTAACGGTGCTACAGAAATGGGACAGGCAGATGGGTTTGGTATAGAAGTACTTAACAAAATGAAGGAAATTCAGGACAGGGTAAATTTTAATAATATTATTTAGTCACAATTTCCTATTTTAATTACCTCAATAAAATAAAGGTCTCAAAGGTCAAAGGTTCAGATATCAAATAATGCCACTTGATATTATAACAAAGTGACTTAATTGCAGTCCGGTTTTCAGTATTTTGCTTCAGATAAGGCTTATTTTAATGATTGTTCATGTTTTTGTCCTCGATGCAAAGTGTTCAGTTGTTATGAACAAAATAATTAAACTGTGCTTAATTGTTCGTTTTCTAAGTCTATATTCTTCATATAAGTTATTTTGACTGCATATGTCATGTTATGTCCAATTCAGACAAATAATGTCGTTATAACTGAACAAATAATCAACTTGTTAAAACTGTTACTTACGTCATAATAATTTACATATAATAGTAAGAAGGACTTGGTATCAAATGTTCTTTAATTCAAGCAGATTGGCTTACAATATGAAATATTCAATATATGAGCGACACCACCTGGAATATATATGAGCCGCGTCACGACAAAACCAACATAGTGCGTTTGCGACGAGCATGGATCCAGACCAGCCTGCGCATCCGCGCAGTCTGATCAGGATCTATGCTGTTCGCTTACCAAAATCTATATTAAGTAGAGAAACTGATAGCGAACAGCATGGATCCTGATCAGACTGCGCGGATGCGCAGGCTGGTCCGGATCTATGCTGGTCGCAAACGCACTATGTTGGTTTTGTCGTGACGCGGCTCATATATTAATACCACACGTGATATGTATGTAAATAAGATATGATATACCATATAATATTCATCATTTAAATTTATGATCAATGATCAACTTATCAGAGCAAAGAAACATGGTCATAAATATGACTCAAATCAGATTAAGTATACATTAATCATAGCTGTATAACTATGATTCACTGTCCGTATCTTTTGCTAATATACTTTTAACTAGTGCTTTTAACTAATTTCACATGATCTATCCCTTATCAATTGACACTGCCAATGCTAAAACAGCGCTAATTTGATATGCAATTGAAAGTTTGTGTGGCTGACATGACGACAATGTAGTAACTTGATTTTAAACACATATCACTCTTTCAATGCAGGATTGTAAAGGGACGTTACTAGAGTTTGTATTGAAGACATACTGTCAAATATATGAGAGTGAGGTAGATATAGGGTGTCCTACAAGATTTCGACTTCCAGAACCTTCAAATATGAGGCATGCCTCTCAGGTAAATTCCGTCAACACGGTTACTTTCCGTAACGAATATTTCTTCATAAGCTGGTACATGGGCGATTGGACAAGAGTTCAGTTGCTTTGAACCATATAACTGTGGTTTTTTTTCTTTATAATATAAAAATGCGTAAACTGTTGAGTAATTATGAATGAAAATTAAAGATATTTCTAAACTTAAATAATTTAAATTACAGGTCAAAATATTTGTACATCTCTTATTTTTTTCAAAATATTTTGTAAAGTCAAGTATTCCTTTAGCTTTTGTTATAGATATTTTTCAAATCTGTCTCTTTTTCGTTTTATTTTGTATAGTATGTTTACTCACGCGCCTGTTTGCTATGATACGTATCTTTATTATATCTTTCTTTTAAATGTTTTGTATTTATATTCGTGATTTTATTATGACATGTTTTTATATCATAATTCAGGTATCATTTGAAGGTATTCAGGACGCTCTCACAAATCTACACTCAGATCTCAGACATATACGAGAAAAGGTATCAGTCATTCAATAATGTGCTTAAAATGATACTTGATAGATTTTCAAAGTTAACTTATACTTTGGTTTATGCTGTAAGGTTTGTAATATAAGTGCTCAAGAACAATGCTCAATATTTGAAATGATGTCGACATCACTGAGTGGTTAAATCTAAGAATCGCTAGCCGGGCGGGTTCAAACCCCGTCGGGAGCAAGACATGTTTTTTCCTTGAGCAAGACACTTTACACTCATTGCCAAGTACTGGTTGGTTCCAGGAACGGATTCAAGAGTGTGTCGATAAGTTTAAAGCTAGCTGCACCATCGAACTAAGAAAGTTATCAATTTCATTTTAATATTACAATAACTTTAAAATATTGTCATATAAATATGTGTGATTTATTGCAGTTGTTAGACCCGAGACTGAACAAAGATGTAATGAGACCAATGGACAGTTTTCGTGTCAGTGCAGAAAATTTCTTTGCTTCAGGTAACATTTTCAATCAATTCATGGTAACCAATATATCAATATGCATATTTGTTAAGCGCTTCTTTATCACTTAAATGGATTCCATTTAAATCAAACAAACTACCTGTAATTGAAATCACATATCAAGATATGATGGCAATGTTTTTTTTGTATTGTTAAGGTCAATTTAAGGCACTCCAAAAAAACCCCAAAAAACCAATCATTCTACCTCACTCCCTTAAGTTTAGATACATTTATTAATATTCTTAGCAAATCATCTTACAGAATTTAACCATTTGTGTGTATCACAACCCAGATATAAAAACAATGTAACTTTATAATGTAATATATGTAATGTAATGTAATATAATGTATGTCAGGATTTTTATTGTTGGTTATATGTTACACTGATATGTGATGTTTATTATAAGTTACACCGATATTTAAATATTTAATGTTTATTAAAAGTTACACTGATATTTAATGTTTATTATAAGTAACACTGATATTTAATGCTATATGTAACACTGATATTTAATGTTTATTAAAAGTTACACTGATATTTAATGTTTATTATAAGTTACGCTGATATTTAATGTTATATGTAACACTGATATTTAATGTTTATTATAAGTTACGCTGATATTTAATGCTATATGTAACACTGATATTTAATGTTTATTAAAAGTTACACTGATATTTAAATATTTAATGTTTATTAAAAGTTACACTGATATTTAATGTTTATTATAAGTTACACTGATATTTAATGTTTATTATAAGTTACACTGATATTTAATGTTTATTATAAGTTACACTGATATTTAATGTTTATTATAAGTTACGCTGATATTTAATGTTTATTATAAGTTACGCTGATATTTAATGTTTATTATAAGTTACGCTGATATTTAATGTTTATTATAAGTTACGCTGATATTTAATGCTATATGTAACACTGATATTTAATGTTTATTAAAAGTTACACTGATATTTAATGTTTATTATAAGTTACGCTGATATTTAATGCTATATGTAACACTGATATTTAATGTTTATTATAAGTTACGCTGATATTTAATGTTTATTATAAGTTACGCTGATATTTAATGTTATATGTAACACTGATATTTAATGTTTATTATAAGTTACGCTGATATTTAATGCTATATGTAACACTGATATTTAATGTTTATTATAAGTTACACTGATATTTAATGTTATATGTAACACTGATATTTAATGTTTATTATAAGTTACACTGATATTTAATGCTATATGTAACACTGATATTTAATGTTTATTAAAAGTTACACTGATATTTAATGTTTATTATAAGTTACGCTGATATTTAATGCTATATGTAACACTGATATTTAATGTTTATTATAAGTTACGCTGATATTTAATGTTATATGTAACACTGATATTTAATGTTTATTAAAAGTTACACTGATATTTAATGTTTATTATAAGTTACGCTGATATTTAATGTTATATGTAACACTGATATTTAATGTTTATTATAAGTTACACTGATATTTAATGCTATATGTAACACTGATATTTAATGTTTATTATAAGTTACGCTGATATTTAATGTTTATTATAAGTTACGCTGATATTTAATGTTATATGTAACACTGATATTTAATGTTTATTATAAGTTACGCTGATATTTAATGCTATATGTAACACTGATATTTAATGTTTATTATAAGTTACACTGATATTTAATGTTATATGTAACACTGATATTTAATGTTTATTATAAGTTACACTGATATTTAATGCTATATGTAACACTGATATTTAATGTTTATTAAAAGTTACACTGATATTTAATGTTTATTAAAAGTTACACTGATATTTAATGTTTATTATAAGTTACGCTGATATTTAATGCTATATGTAACACTGATATTTAATGTTTATTATAAGTTACGCTGATATTTAATGTTTATTATAAGTTACGCTGATATTTAATGTTATATGTAACACTGATATTTAATGTTTATTATAAGTTACGCTGATATTTAATGTTTATTATAAGTTACGCTGATATTTAATGTTATATGTAACACTGATATTTAATGTTTATTATAAGTTACGCTGATATTTAATGCTATATGTAACACTGATATTTAATGTTTATTATAAGTTACACTGATATTTAATGTTATATGTAACACTGATATTTAATGTTTATTATAAGTTACACTGATATTTAATGCTATATGTAACACTGATATTTAATGTTTATTATAAGTTACGCTGATATTTAATGTTATATGTAACACTGATATTTAATGTTTATTATAAGTTACGCTGATATTTAATGCTATATGTAACACTGATATTTAATGTTTATTATAAGTTACACTGATATTTAATGCTATATGTAACACTGATATTTAATGTTTATTATAAGTTACACTGATATTTAATGCTATATGTAACACTGATATTTAATGTTTATTATAAGTTACGCTGATATTTAATGCTATATGTAACACTGATATTTAATGTTTATTAAAAGTTACACTGATATTTAATGTTTATTATAAGTTACAGTGATATTAAATGTTTATTACACTGATATTTCAGCATTGGAGGTGATAGGAGAGCAGGAGAAAGTTTTACAGGATACACGAGACGTGTTTGACAAGACCACAACATTCTTCTTTGTTGATAATAAACATGTAAGATATATAGCTGCAAATATATGTAACAATAACAAGGCATACCTATTAACTACATATGTATATGTTAGAGTGCTAGAGGAAATAATGACATACCGCAGCCTGTATTGAGATAGAAGAACCTAAATGTCGGACAATTCTCTCATTCCTTTATATTGTTAGCTTGCCCGATTTGTAGCTTGTCCGATTTGTAACTTCCGAAAATGATATCTTTAACATAAGTAATGGATAGTTCCAACTTTTAAGAAGGACAGATTTACTTTACTATTTCAGCACTGTAATGATTGATAGTGTATGGACTCAATTTTGTCCTATTGCTGGCAAAGAATTTTCATACTATTATTTTATTAACAGATAATTTTACCTAACAGATTTTAAGATAGATTAATTACTGCAGTTACAGATGCAAATGTTGCAAATAAAAAAATATTAATCCCTGTCCCATCTTTTTTGCATATGACAACAGTTATGTTTTTTTTAAATTTCAGATCACTCCCCAACAGTTTTTCCAAATTTGGGCTGTTTTTCTACATGACTGCAAATATTTCTGGAAACTGGCTCATCGCCGATTGGCAAAGGAAAGATTTGAGCTGGAATTCAAGTACAAAGGACAAGTTGTAAGTCCCATAAAGATATAGTATATACATAGTAGTCAACATTTTATATTCTTGTAACGGCATATTTATATGGAATTATCATTATATGTTAACTTACAAAAACTGATTTATTACATATATATAGTTAACAAAAAATATTATAATTATACAAATGTATATCAAGAATATAAAAAAGTGAAGACATAATGTTTTTCAATTACTCATTAAAATAATAAAACCGTTTTTCTTTTTTAATTTCAGTCTGCAAATTCATTACAAGGTTATGGCAGTTTCCGAGCAGGTGTTTTAAAAGGTGTAGACTCCCTAAACAACGCCGACCCTAAAACATCGACAGCTCAAAGACGAGGTAACAGGTTAAATGAAAATCAAGACCCATCGAAACCAAATGTACCACCTAAACCTAGTCGGTCAATCAATACAGACACTGCTGATCAAAGCGACAGGTCATCATCACCCAAACCACTAACATCAAGTCCACCATCTTCTGTGGATGTTTACAAACCAATGCCGAAAGCACCTGTACAGAACAATCACGTGGTTTCTAACGGACCGTCCAATTATGCTCCTAACTACGAAAACCAGTCTGAATTAGACCGTCTCCAACAGCAACAGCATTATCATCATCACCACCACCACCATCATCATCAACAGCAACAACACTATTATCAACAGCCTACACAAGACGCTTATACAAATAATACGTCAGTTCCGGTTAGCGAGACATCACCCGGAAGTACATATTACCGTAGCCCAAATTCTAGTAACACTAAAGATAAAAAATCATCTCAACAGTTTTCATTAAAAACTTGGTTAAAACGAGAAAGAGAACAGGTTCGTAAGGAAGTAGAAAGTGACACTGTGGATGTTACTTCTATTCCAGAATCAAAACCAAACAGCTCCACTAAGTCATTTTCAAGGTTCAAAAATTCCATGATTCAGAAGTTTTCCGGCAGTTCATCAAACAAAAAGCAGGACAACTCCTCTAAAAAGTCGAAAGAAAACAAAGGGGTATCAGTTACTTCCCCTGTTGCAAATAAACATGCTGCTCACCACAATGCTGTTCCGTATGACATTATTAGAAATAATTACAGTGCAACTGACCAGAATAAATATAACCCTAGCAGAGAAACTGGGGCTCTAAATCTTGACAGTCTTGAGGAATACAACAAGCCCCTTCCAGATACTGTTATATCCCCTATAGATGACCCTGAGTGTGAGGAACCTGTTATAACGAAACAACACGACTATGGTCACCAAAACATGCGTCCACAACATACCATCAATGGAGAACATGTTGTTCACAACGGCGATGTTAATAATAATGACAAGTATGGTGATAACAAATTCCAACACACTTCCGGGTGGACTCAGTCAAAAAGTTCTGAAAACCCTTACGGTCGACTTCATAAAGACAATTATGTGGAAAGTCACAAAAGAGAAAGTGCATTTGCAAGAGGTCCGGGAGACCATGGTGTTGAGTCAAAAAGAGTTGTTGCTCAAACTGTTCCACTATATAAAGCAAGAATTATCAATAATTACGAGAACCAAGGTAAATTTGAGAACCCACATGCAGTCAGGCAGCAAGCTGAAGCTGTAAAACCTATGTCAGTAAATAATCTACACGAGAATAATAATGGTACAGTTACGTTTGAAAACAGAACTGAAGATCAAAAAAGTCCATACGCCGGATATGACGTCGAACATACTAGGAATAAAAGTTTAGATAACACACATGTAGATGGTGCACATGCAAATAAACATTTTAGTCACACACAATCCAATAAAGATAATAGCCCATATGGTCACCATGGAAAACTTAACAAAGGCACTGATGTTGTAAGGTCTCCGCAAGATACACCAAGAAAGAGAACAGTTCTTGAAAACAGGAATTACTTCACACCAGGAAATCGAGCTCCGATGAATGTACAGTCTATTGGCTCGCTTATAGACAAGTTTGATAAATACAATAACAATACAACAGATGGACAAACAACCCACCAGACAGCTAATCAAAATGCATCATCGTCATCTAATCCTGCTGCCATGACATCAACACCACGAAAGGTTTCACCAAACGGAGAAAGCAGTGACATGTCACCACCATTACCACCGCGGATGAGTCTTTCACCTTCTAAGTCAAGAACGCAGAATACTGAACAAGCTGACTATAGAAACTCGAGTAGTCACCTGTCTGCAGACAGACAGGCCTACACTTCTCCTCAATCAAGACTCGACAATCTGACCTCTACCAATTTATCTCCACCAAGTGTGTACTCAACACCACAAGGCGAGCCGGTGCACAGTGCTTCAAACTGGTCACAACATAATAACACCAATCATTTCTATACACCTACATCATCAAACGCAAGTCGATCTCGAAGTTTTTATACTTCCCCACAAACTCGTGCCAATCTTGATCGCGAGCCACGTGATATAGACAATTCACGCGGAAACTTAACAAATGGTAATCATTTTACAAACGGATATCACAATAGTCACGTGGCCACCGCTGACCAATCAGAGGACAGGGACGATGGATATAGAGCAATGTTACGTAAAGCAGCCACCCAGTCATCCTATGATAGACAATCTAAGAACACTCCGCAGTATACCGGGCGGCCGAGCTTTGGTTCGCCCTACTCAGAGACGAACACTACACCGTACAGTTCAAGTTCAGTCGTAAAATCACCAGTTCTCAATAACGATGAAGTGGCCTACATGGCATTCTGATTGATATATTGTAAAATGATTCTTAAGACACTTGTCTCTTTCCTTTATTATCGTTCTAGAATGATGATACGATAAACAAAAGTTGAACCCAACAATGTTCATGTAAAATGATTTGTAAGTTGTAAAAGATATTTTAAACATTTTGTGTACTCGCAAAAACTAAAATATGTTGTTACTAGTATTGAGTTGTTTTTAACAAAATACATCTTCAGATTGTAAGAATCTATGCAATATTCGAGTACATAGGACATTATATTTTGATACATGATATTATCATAGTTGTTGTGCTAAGTTGTGTACGTCTATTAGGTCTACTTAAATATTAAGACTTTACCTGAACAACTTTATATTTACTATTAAAACTTTGTTTACATGTTTGAACCATATTTACATTGGAACTACTTTAAGCTTTTTTTTAAAAACTTTGTTTCCAATGAAAATACGTTTACATTGTATTTTCTTTATTTTAACTTTTGAAACTGGAAATTATTTTTGTTCACTTATTACTATGTTAATATTAAAGTCATGTTAACATTGGAACTTCTTGGTGTTCACGTAAATGTGTTGACATAGTAAAAACTGTTATATATTACTTTTGTGACCTTTTTATACTGAGAAGGAATATAGAAAAGCTATATAGATTTTAACTATGACATTGGAACTATGTTTATACTAGAGAAAAAAGATATTTTTAATGCTTTTATGTTGTGTTGTTTTTTTATTTCATTATGTTGAAACTTGCTTGATGATTATTTTTATGAAGAAAATGAGAGAATAAAAAGAAACGAACTATAAAACAATTTTCTGTTTTCATTCACAGGCTTCTCCTGTAAATCGATTTTACCCCTGAAAAGTCTGTTTATTTAATATTGATGGCATTTGAATTCCATTACATAAATAAATATATTGACATTTTAAATAGCAGTTAAAGGTACTACTGACAAGTTACCACGAAATATGTGAACAAAAGACAGCTGTGGCGTTCCATAACTACTCGTATGATAGTTCATTGTTGCCAGAAGAAATAGATGCAGGGTAGTTTGATCAAATGACCAACTCGTTGGAGATAAGAATAACCTGTTGTACATTATCTGTATTCTTTTAATGAGTTCCCAAAAGAAAAAAAAATAGAAGAATATTAGAATTAGACGAATAAATTTTCTATGAGTCCCATAGATCTGTTAAAGTGAACTGGTCTATAATGGAAGATCTGTAATACCATAAATAACCATGGCAACTGAAAGTATTAAGTATCATATGCAAAAACAACTACGAAAGAATTATATGCCATAAATATCAAAAATCACGACTGTTTTCCTTCACATATTAGGGAAGTGTAAGATCAATGAACATTACTATTTTTGTTACAAAGCGAACCTAAATACAACCAAATTTACTTAAGAACACATCGAGTTTTATTCGATTTAAAGAAACTGATCTTCTTTGAATAAATGAAACAGTATATATAACAGTTAGTTGTCAAGGTCTACAGCGAATGCGCGTGACGCACGTGATTTTAGGCTATGACCTATATTCAGTTAATTTCATGCCTAGTTAATTTGTAAGCATTGTTGGAGGCCAAAAATAAGGCTATGAAAAAAATTGGTTGAAAAAGTTCCAAAGAGCTGTGGCGCCTTTATCTGTTTAATTGGGTTAACTAGGTTATATTACCGTTTACTAGGTTATATTACCGTTTACTAGGTTATATTACCGTTAACTAGGTTATATAACCGTTTACTAAGTTATATCACCGTTAATTAGGTTAAATAACCGTTTACTATGTTATATTATCGTTTACTAGGTTATATTACTGTTTACTAGGTTATACTACCGTTAACTAGGTTATATTACCGTTTACTAGGTTATATTATCGATTACAAGGTTATATTACCGTTTACTAGGTTATATTATCGTTTACAAGGTTATATTACCGTTTACTAGGTTATATTTTCGTTTACAAGGTTATATTACCGTTTACTAGGTTATATCATCGTTTACTAGGTTATATTACCGTTTACTAGGTTAAATTATCGTTTATAAGGTTATATTACAGTTTACTAGGTTATACTACCATTTACTAGGTTATATTATCGTTTACAAGGTTATATTACCGTTTACTAGGTTATATTATCGTTTACAAGGTTATATTACAGTTTACTAGGTTATACTACCGTTAACTAGGTTATATTACCGTTTACTAGGTTATATTATCGTTTACAAGGTTATATTACCGTTTACTAGGTTATATTATCGTTTACAAGGTTATATTACCGTTTACTAGGTTATACTACCTACAAAGACTATACCAGTATGACTTTTCCAGCCATCAAGGCTGAAGATGACAGGCCGTAGACGACGGAGTATAAGGAAATCTTCATCAATGTTTTTGTGTCTTCTTTTCATCTTTTTTTTCTGGATTTGACCATAACCCACGTAAGATAGGTTAAGATTTGATATTTTTAATACTTTCTGAAACAGGTTATAAATTGAACATTTAGCTGATTGGAGTCTGATGTTCTGTCCTGGCCTAAAACTCTTTCACTTCACCATATGTTCCTGTACAACTATTAAATCATAGAAATTATAATTGCTTGCAGATGTTGATCCAACATTTTGCGCCAGAGGGGGCTTGTAAAATTTTAGCAATGGGTATGATACATATTCCAGCGAATGTTTGGTATTTTATTAGTTTTCCAAAGAAAGCATGAGTCACATATGTTTACTAAAACGACAAGTCCTTGATGTATTATCATATTTATTTATAATAATCTCATTTACAAGATCTGAATCTGCGGATGGTTTCTTCTTGATCTTTAAGAATTTTTCAGCTGCTGAATATGATGATAGTAACTACCAAGTACTATGAAACAAAACTGTCTTGGAATATCTAATTTAGGATCTATCAGTACAATAACTATCACTGTACTAAAACGATCTCAAAGCTGTTCATTAGTACATGAACATGTATTTATATAATAGTCCAACTTCAAATCAGATTACTTTTATCAGGCAGTTTTACCAGAAATCGGCTATTTTCATTCACAGATCTATGTCAATTCAAGCCCAATTAGAAATGAAACAATGAACATAAAAACAAAGTTAACACCTCTGACAAGTTAAAAGCGCATTTATTTACACGAATTTCATGCAGTTGTTTTTTCAATTGCCCTACGAAAGATGCAAAATTTGGCTATTTTGATCAATTTCACGTATATTTCCGGAAGAAAATCTTGTCATAATACTTAAATAAATAGACCGAAACGGGTCAGAAAATTTGTCAATAAACGTTTTATCTTATCTTTATTTTACTGTCATTTCATTTCTCGTATATTACTTCTTAGTGAATTACATAACTAAAGTAAAGAAGTATTAAAAATAATCCAGCTCGAAAAAGTGGATTTAATATTTAGCCTTGTAAAACTTAAAATTTTAAGATGTAAAATTAAAGGCACTGACATCAATTATTAACAAAGCTTTTTAAAAATCAGAATAAGACACGGAAACTTAATTGAGTTTTTTTTTCTAAAGTATTTGGGGAAATGGTATATCACGCCCAAGTACCATACAACGTATTTCATCACAATAACATTCAGTAAATACATGTACACATTGCACACCTATTTCCTTTATTTACATTATAGTTTTAACAAACATGCCGCGACTGGTCAGCAAAATCAATTTATGGATTGTAGTAATAATATTATTTTATTACAACTGTCCATTATTCAAACTGACCCTAAATTTAAAATCAATAGTGTTTTGTCACCAATATCGATTTCCTTTTTATTTTTATTTTTGAAAAATAATCCCGTTAAATCGCGCTTGACCATTGAAACATTTAAGTTGCACTACAGTTTACAATAACTTTTGCTATAACACGGAAGGAGAAATAAAACATGAAGGGGAAAGTTAAATATCTAATAGTTGTTCTTGTTGTGTTGCAAGGAATTTTATTATTTACCTATGTAATGTTTTATCAGAGTAGAGGTTATTCTGCCAGTATTTCTGTTGTACATACGCCTGTCGGGAAAAAAGACGTTGTTACTAATCGTGATCAAATTAAACAATTGATACAACCAAAACTGAAATCAAAACAGGCAGGCGAAAAGAAAGATGTAGGCGTTCAAGTTCCGAATAAAACAATATTTGTTGACGAACGAAACGGCGAATGTAATGGAACCAAATTTCAGTATGAACATATTGATGATACATCCTGGTTCCCTGTAGACAAAGGGAACAGTATGTTTGTTTTCTCAGCATATTACATTAAGGCAAGAAGGAAAGTGTTTATTATAGGCGCAAAACAAAAATCAACACAAAGGTGTATATGTCAATTCTGGTACCCATATGGAAGTAAAGGAAATATGCGCATGACTGAACATCCGGCGCTTTCCAAAATGCGGTCGGAGGGCAAAAGTAAACTGTAAGTTATCATGTAAATTGTTCGTTCATTCGTTCATACCATATTTCAGTAAAAAAGTCGACCATAAGTGTTAAGTTTTAGCTTATTTGTTATTAAAGATTTAGAAGAATAAAAATGTTACAAAAATAATTCTTTTAAGTTATATATATGTGGTATTAAACCAACACGGCTAGCGATCCTTAGATTACTAGTTCGACGCGTTATGAGTAACCACGTGGCCATGCCGCCACCACGTGGGATTCTCAGTCAATGACTTTAAGTTAAAAAAAAGCCACTGTCCGAAACATTTAGCCTCAAGTCAATTTCTCGTCAGACGAATCAGTGTTAACAGTAAACAGATACATAACGATTTCCAATGTCATATTTTACATATCAAAAAGTTTCTCTTATTTCGATTCATGCCTGTTAATTAATAATGAATGTTGTTATATATGCACATTTTCGTCCTTTGCAGATATTTAGCAACAGTGTTTGAGTGTTTTCTTGGAGCAGATCAAATACCCTCTTACATCTCGCTTGTAACGAGATCATGCGAGACTCCACTAAACATGCTTGCCGTGAAAAATGTTTCAAAACCTATCAAATATAAAACGCGTTTTTCAGTATGCCTGTCTCCGCTGTATTTTAACTACAGCCGGGCGTATGAACTTGTGGAGTGGATTGAACTAAATAGAATACTCGGTGCCGAAAAATTCACTATTTATAACATTTCAACTTCAATCAATGTCGATAAAGTGCTTGAATATTATTCAAAACGAGGCTTGGTGGAAATTGTGCAATGGAGATTACCAATGAGAGTAAGTAAATGTCCCGGTGACCAATCGGACATTCATTACTTCGGACAAACAGCTGCTTTGAATGACTGCCTATTTCGAACTAAACGTGACTCGGAATATTTAGTAAACGTGGACTTAGATGAGTTCATTATTCCCCATGGTGAAAACCTGTTTAACTGGACACTAACAATAAAACCATATGAAAACATTTACAATGTTTTTATGTTTAAAAGTACGTATTTTAGAAAAGAATGGAAAAGTATTAAAAATGACTTCCCTGAACAGGACCAAGCGGAAAAGTATAAGCTGGTATCGCTTAAAGTAATAGAGCGTGAAGGTAGGATATTTCCTGCAAAACGCCGGACCAAATATATTGCACGGACAGCATCAATTGATGTAATACAGATTCACGAAGTTCCGGGTTCACATACGGCAATTATTCCTCCTTCAGTTGCTCTTTTACATCATTATAGGAACTGGTTTAATCAGCTAGATAGAAATGGATCTGTGGAGGATAACATTGTACGTCAGCTTTATGGGACACAGTTAATAAATCGTGTACGAATTGTGTGGAATGACCTTCATGGTGTACAAATGGAACTATGAAAGTTAAATGAACAATTATAACGTGGAATTAAAGTACTAAAATACAGTTTCATTTAATATTTTACACAACAGATGCCACCATTGATATCATGTATACGGTATACATGTATATAAATTGCAAACAATTTCATTCCATCAGAAAAGCAGTCCTCAACAATTCCCTTTTCTGCGTGCATGTAGTGTTATTATAATAACAAACTTGTTGGAGTCCCTACCAATATATAGATAATTCTGTAATCAATATGTTACAATTATGTTATATCTGATGGCGGCCATCTCTTTGTTTTATCTTTTAAATGTTTAGTCAGTAATAAATCAGGCAAAATTTATATCAGGCAAAATTTATATATGTATGTGCATTTATATTTACATCTTTCTATTTTTATGAATATACGCGTATTGAATTTGATTTTAATTTCAAAAATATATATATGTATTTCCATTTGATATCTATCTTATACACTTGTTTAATTGTAATCAAGCAAACTTGTCAGCTAATAATTGTAACCCACGGTGTACGATTACATGTTAGAATGTCCTTTACTGAACACCGAATTCAACCATATGGGGTAGAACATCTGCACACTTGCTGATCCGGTCGTCCTACCCTTATTAGCGTCTTTTCTTGCAGAGTCTTCCTTGACAAGGTTCTTCGGTCAGTGGAGGTAAGCAAACGACAATACCGCCAAAACATCATCTAACCCCCCGTTCACACAGAGCTGCGACTTTAGGACGATCATGCCGATCAAGCCACGATCTGAAAAAGTATTGGATCGGGGCCGATCGGCGTCAAAATCGAACAATTTGGCAAATTTTGGTCTTCATTACGACTGTACTCTACGATGCTCCCACGTCAAACGCGCTGCTGACACGCTTCTACAACGATGTTACGCTGACCGATGCCGACCAGCGGCCGCGTTTACTGCGATTATACTACGCTGCCGCTACAACATTCAAGCTCGCACTACGACGCTACGCAGACCTAGAAGACTGTACAACGATATCGCTACGACGGTGCCGATCATATCACGCTTGTAGTACGCTACTGGTACGATTTTGGCGATGATATATATATCTTGTGTTTCAAAATATTATTTTTCATTTACTTCCATACTTCAAACATGAACGGACGTATTAATTCTGAGCTTCACTTCATTAATAACAAATATTGGTTGAAATTGAAATTGCACAGATTGTTAACAGGCCGAGGCCAAGAAGATACTGGGTACGACCATGGCTATCTGCAGATAGGAGGCTCCAGTTTGGACAATATGATACATTGATGAGAGAACTACGAATGGAAGACACCACTTCCTCAGATTATGATTGGTCAAATAGCAGCGCTATAAAAATAAACTGCTACCTGACAGGTCGTGGTATGATCGTCGTAAGGTCATGGTAGGTCTTCGTAGGATCGTCATGAACGTAGAGAGATCGTAGTGGGAACGTAGTAAGAACATAGTGGGGACGTTGTAGAAGCGTACTCGGTATGTCTCCGGCTGCACTACGCTTTTACTGCGCCTTTACTACGATTATGAAGAACTATCCACGATGCTTCCGCGCTGCTTGTACGATTACGGCGCATCTACCACGCTCTTTTTACGACTTTACCTAGATTCTTGTTGGCCACGATGCCGCTACGCTTGTTTTGAGCACGTTCAAAATAAACGTGGCGAAAGCGTAGAGCTTTCCGATCATGAAGACGCTACCGCGATCATACTGCGCTTATGTAGACTCCACTACGTTTCTCCTGCGATTTGCCACGATCGGCCACGTTTTCGGTCACGCTTTGATCGTAGTAGAAGCAGCGTCTATGTGTGAACGGGGGGTTACAAAATCTGCCATTGTAACGCCACCTTCCCGGGTTAAAAACGACAGGTCAACCTGATATTTGTGATGATTTGACCTTGACATTGGAATGTTTGTCACTTTAATTCATGCGACCTCCCCACGTTCCTACGTAGTTGTTTCCCTTTTCTTCGCTACAACAGACCACTGCCATTACAAGTGTTTTATTAAAACTTTGACACAATTTAATACAGAATAATTATTTTGATAGGGATATATTTTCGTGTATATAATTGATTGATAACTATCCGCAACTAGATTGCTTAAATTGAATAGACAAACAATGTAATATGGATTCGTTCGGTCCTATACATAAGAGGTTGCTAGTAAAGCGAAAGTAGAATGTTTGCAGCAATCCACAAAGCCAATTTAAAATCAAAATCAAAACTGTTTCGCCCTTTTAGTCAATCTTCGAAAGAGACCTTGAACACTATTGTATAAATACACAGAACGACAATTGCCAGTTTATATTGATAGTTTTCAAATATAATTTTAGGCCTTTATTTCCTTTGAATTTCTATTTTATTTTGCAAGAAAGGGGTTTGTCCAGGATGTTTGGATTTTGGAATTACTTTAAAAGCGAAATGGTCCAATACCATTTTTGGATTATAGCCGAAATGGGCTCTGATTTGATAATAAGTTATAGAAGACTGTCTGAAAAGAGTTTGTGATATGGTATGGTTGAGTATACAACTGCCTTCATGACTGTAAGTGCAAGCTCAAAATCAATTCCGTGGTTCAGAGCGTTGTTACTTCGCAAGTTTAAATCCCAGTCAATGCTGTATTTTTATTCGCTGCATTTGTACCTGTTACAAACAGTTATGTACAAGGTCAAACAAGGTTAGTGTAATCTAAAGGTAATTGAACATTTATCAATTGCTGATTGCCCACATGCTTAAAACTAGACATGTACAGTTACTATTTATGTAAAAAGTTGGATGATTATGTATAGGATATCGACCGAGTACGAGGTCTTTCTGTTTAGGAAAGACCTGGTCACGAATTTCATGTGACACCGAGAGCGCGTAGCGCTCGAGGTGTTTCATGAAATTCGTGACCAGGTCTTTCCTAAACAGAAAGATCGATGTACGAGGCCGATATCCAACTTACACACCCATAGGAACTCGAGAACGGGACCGCAGATTGCGGCGTATATTTTCAATCGTGTAACGGTTTTTAAAAACGTTTCTGCTACATCTAAATATATTTTAGTATTATCCGAGTGTATGGACTCAAAAAATATATTATCAATTGAACCCAATCTGTCTCTTTTAAAACTGGTCAAATTTTACGGTATTATAAAAAAAGACAAGGAGTGACATCCGCCATTTGCCGCAACGTTTTCGGCATGAGTTTTTCCCCTTTGGCTACAATTGATTACTATTTTTTCAGAATTTTGTTCACGTTATTTTTGTCAACTATCAGGTATCGTCCGGATATAACGTTAACGGTTTATAGTTTACACGTGTTGACATGTATAGGCGGCATTATAACGGGCGTATTCGTGTATTGATTTGTTAAAATGGAGAAAACAGACACTTTAGTAATATGGTCCAACTGATTTTGCCTAACTGAAAAAAGGAATATTAAAACATGATCCATAGATAAATATTTTAGGCACTCATCTCGTATTCATTACTAGAAAAATTAAAACAAAAGTCAAGCATATCAAGGGGGATAACTTACGCCGAACGTTGCGGCAAATGGCGGATGTCACTCCTTTCTTTTTTCAATATACCGTAAATTTGACTGATTTTTAAATTAGCAGATTATATTAAATTGAGATTAGATAATTAAAGACCACCCGCTCGCATAATATGAAAAGATATTCAAAGGTCGGACAAACTATATGTAAAGCCGGTAAGGATTCGGATTTATGCGCCGCAATATGCGGTCCTGTTCCAGAGTTCCTATGTTACACACCGTCAAACTATTGGCTTGAGCAATGGCTGATCCGAAACATTTGATGTAATGCACAAAGATAATTTTTAACACAGCGCATAAACAGGTAAGCTTTTATCAACGTTCTGCTTTTATATAGTATATATTTTGCATTTAACTTTGTTTTTTTTTTTAAATAATAATAAAAAGGCTAAATGTGTAATTTGTCAATAATAAAGTGAATGGGTCTGTAATTGAATTTATGTAAAAGAATGAATAATTGTGTTGATAGTATTTCGTATCAGTCATTTCAAATTCTAGAACATTTGCTCCCCCCGAACAGTTGCCCTCTCGGACGTATGCCCCCCTTTTTTTTGCTTGTAACTTGTCAGAGGTCATCTCGTGTATATATTTTATGTATTTTATTTTTTTATTTATAGATGCTAATTTTTAAGTTTTCACAAATTTGCGCGAGATTTTTTGTTTATTGAAGCAAAATGGAATTTCGACAATAGGCGATGAATTTTAATTTTTGTAACAAACAATTCAACAATTAAATTTTTTAACATTTTTAAAACATGGGGGTGATGGCACCAACCCTTCCAAGGATATGGGGGGGGGGGGGCAATGTCCGCCACTGCAAAAAGGGAGCAAACTCCGAGGGTGCAACTGTCTGAGGGGCAAATGTCCGATACCCAGCACACCATGAAAGACTTACATATGTATATTGTTGCATGACAAGTGTAAGATACATGATCCGAAATTATATTTTATATAGCAGATTATAAAGTGTTCTAGAATAAAAATAATGAAAATAAATTTTTAAACTAAATCACTTATAACTTTATATTAACATTTCTTTTTCAACATTTCTTTTAATAATATCCTAATCGTTTTTGTCGATATTTTAATAACTAATGGGAGATGTGTGTCCATTGTAGACCAATCCACTTTGAGTACTTGTATCTGCATGTCACTATAAGCAAGGTTTGGATTATATCTTTAACATTCTTTGAACCTAAGCCCTGGATTCGAAGGTTTTCAGGGGAAATCAGTTTTGATTTTTCGCGGGTTGAATAGAAAGGTAGGATAAAGCCAAACTAAAAGAGGGGGTGGGGACGGGTTAACGGGGATTTAACAATCTGATTGATCCTGAGGGTGGGAATGTAACCAGGGACTTTGCTATGAACTGTCGGTAGCTGCGGTTTCCTAGGCAAAGCGTATATCAAATGGACGTAATTTGAATCACAAATGAGACGGACATATTTATGTTATATTTTTCGATATGAAAGTTTGGTACAATTTTTATTTACTATGATTTTTTGTGGATTAGATGATTTAGAATCGTGATAAGTATATGGTCGGTGATAACTGTTATAGTTTCATAGAAATGAACTTAAAGCACCCATTTTTGTTATATTGTGAAATTAATGACAGAAGAAGCGCTTAGATTACTATTTTTTTTGAAAAATGACGCGATTAGAAAAATGTTAAATGTTTCCTAACTTTGATATGCTATCCATTTATTTCATTCAAAGATTTAATATAGAAATGTTGGAATAATTATAAACATTATCTTGTTTAAAAGAATGTATCCAGATTTTGTCAGACAGGAATATTATGACAATCATTTATTTACATTTTATTTTCAATTTTTGATTGCATTTCATGTTTTCTTTGTCTACGCATAGGCAGGTCTATTTTTTCACGTGTTTTTCATGACCGGGTCTGTCTGACTAGAACAGACCTGTGCACGTGCAAAAGATAGACCTCATAACGGACTTTCTTTTGTTAAAACAGGTCTATCCGAAAAATATAGACCTGTCACAAACAATAGAGGAGGTGTAAGTATAGGATATCGACCGAGTACGAGGTCTATCTGTTTAGGAAAGACACGAATTTCATGTGACACCGAGAGCGCGTAGCGCTCGAGGTGTTTCATGAAATTCGTGACCAGGTCTTTCCTAAACAGAAAGATCGATGTACGAGGCCGATATCCAACTTACACACCCATAGGAACTCGAGAACGGGACCGCAGATTGCGGCGTATATTTTCAATCGTGTAACGGTTTTTAAAAACGTTTCTGCTACATCTAAATATATTTTAGTATTATCCGAGTGTATGGACTCAAAAAATATATTATCAATTGAACCCAATCTGTCTCTTTTAAAACTGGTCAAATTTTACGGTATTATAAAAAAAGACAAGGAGTGACATCCGCCATTTGCCGCAACGTTTTCGGCATGAGTTTTTCCCCTTTGGCTACAATTGATTACTATTTTTTCAGAATTTTGTTCACGTTATTTTTGTCAACTATCAGGTATCGTCCGGATATAACGTTAACGGTTTATAGTTTACACGTGTTGACATGTATAGGCGGCATTATAACGGGCGTATTCGTGTATTGATTTGTTAAAATGGAGAAAACAGACACTTTAGTAATATGGTCCAACTGATTTTGCCTAACTGAAAAAAGGAATATTAAAACATGATCCATAGATAAATATTTTAGGCACTCATCTCGTATTCATTACTAGAAAAATTAAAACAAAAGTCAAGCATATCAAGGGGGATAACTTACGCCGAACGTTGCGGCAAATGGCGGATGTCACTCCTTTTCTTTTTTCAATATACCGTAAATTTGACTGATTTTTAAATTAGCAGATTATATTAAATTGAGATTAGATAATTAAAGACCACCCGCTCGCATAATATGAAAAGATATTCAAAGGTCGGACAAACTATATGTAAAGCCGGTAAGGATTCGGATTTATGCGCCGCAATATGCGGTCCTGTTCCAGAGTTCCTATGTTACACACCGTCAAACTATTGGCTTGAGCAATGGCTGATCCGAAACATTTGATGTAATGCACAAAGATAATTTTTAACACAGCGCATAAACAGGTAAGCTTTTATCAACGTTCTGCTTTTATATAGTATATATTTTGCATTTAACTTTGTTTTTTTTTTAAATAATAATAAAAAGGCTAAATGTGTAATTTGTCAATAATAAAGTGAATGGGTCTGTAATTGAATTTATGTAAAAGAATGAATAATTGTGTTGATAGTATTTCGTATCAGTCATTTCAAATTCTAGAACATTTGCTCCCCCCGAACAGTTGCCCTCTCGGACGTATGCCCCCCTTTTTTTTGCTTGTAACTTGTCAGAGGTCATCTCGTGTATATATTTTATGTATTTTATTTTTTTATTTATAGATGCTAATTTTTAAGTTTTCACAAATTTGCGCGAGATTTTTTGTTTATTGAAGCAAAATGGAATTTCGACAATAGGCGATGAATTTTAATTTTTGTAACAAACAATTCAACAATTAAATTTTTTAACATTTTTAAAACATGGGGGTGATGGCACCAACCCTTCCAAGGATATGGGGGGGGGGCAATGTCCGCCACTGCAAAAAGGGAGCAAACTCCGAGGGTGCAACTGTCTGAGGGGCAAATGTCCGATACCCAGCACACCATGAAAGACTTACATATGTATATTGTTGCATGACAAGTGTAAGATACATGATCCGAAATTATATTTTATATAGCAGATTATAAAGTGTTCTAGAATAAAAATAATGAAAATAAATTTTTAAACTAAATCACTTATAACTTTATATTAACATTTCTTTTTCAGCATTTCTTTTAATAATATCCTAATCTTTTTTAGCGATATTTTAATAACTAATGGGAGATGTGTCCATTGTAGACCAATCCACTTTGAGTACTTGTATCTGCATGTCACTATAAGCAAGGTTTGGATTATATCTTTAACATTCTTTGAACCTAAGCCCTGGATTCGAAGGTTTTCAGGGGAAATCAGTTTTGATTTTTCGCGGGTTGAATAGAAAGGTAGGATAAAGCCAAACTAAAAGAGGGGGTGGGGACGGGTTAACGGGGATTTAACAATCTGATTGATCCTGAGGGTGGGAATGTAACCAGGGACTTTGCTATGAACTGTCGGTAGCTGCGGTTTCCTAGGCAAAGCGTATATCAAATGGACGTAATTTGAATCACAAATGAGACGGACATATTTATGTTATATTTTTTCGATATGAAAGTTTGGTACAATTTTTATTTACTATGAATTTTTTGTGGATTAGATGATTTAGAATCGTGATAAGTATATGGTCGGTGATAACTGTTATAGTTTCATAGAAATGAACTTAAAGCACCCATTTTTGTTATATTGTGAAATTAATGACAGAAGAAGCGCTTAGATTACTATTTTTTTGAAAAATGACGCGATTAGAAAAATGTTAAATGTTTCCTAACTTTGATATGCTATCCATTTATTTCATTCAAAGATTTAATATAGAAATGTTGGAATAATTATAAACATTATCTTGTTTAAAAGAATGTATCCAGATTTTGTCAGACAGGAATATTATGACAATCATTTATTTACATTTTATTTTCAATTTTTGATTGCATTTCATGTTTTCTTTGTCTACGCATAGGCAGGTCTATTTTTTCACGTGTTTTTCATGACCGGGTCTGTCTGACTAGAACAGACCTGTGCACGTGCAAAAGATAGACCTCATAACGGACTTTCTTTTGTTAAAACAGGTCTATCCGAAAAATATAGACCTGTCACAAACAATAGAGGAGGTGTGTAACAATGGGTCAAATAACTAAATGATTACAACTCTTTGTTTACTTTCATACTGATATTTACGATAAGTTAGATAGTTGGTTGTTGAAAATAAACTAAATTATTATCAATATGAGATATGTAAATTTTGATGCGCTTTCTTGTACAGATTTATATACGGATATGTTTACGCTATTATATGAAAGTATGTTAATTACTTTCAACGCTTGAATGTTAACTTTAAAGAAGTCAATATGTTATGAAAAGATGACAGACATTGAGAAACACAATATGTCTAGTAAAATAAGGACTAATTTGATATGGATATTAATCGTGAACATTGCTTTGGTTATTCTTTACATGTCTGTTTCTAACAAAATATATTCATCCGATATTGAGAAATCTTTAGTGCACGAAATATACAACAATAAAGGAATTATACATATAAGCAACCGGACGGTTAACAGACGAAAGAAAACGGAAATTTATCCAGAAAAAGTTGTTAGCGGTGATTGTACCGGACTTCTTTTTCCGGCGCACTTATCACCGGAAGTAACATGGCGTCCAGTAAACCCAGAAAACTCGGCTTATGTATTCTCTATGTATCATTTAAAGGACAAAAGTAGACTTGTTATCATCGGAGCTAAAGAGAAAGATTATACAACTTATTATTGTCAGATGTGGTACAGTTTGACTACAAACCGTTCTTATCACATGGTCCAAAACCCAGCCAGAGCGGCTGTTTTGCCAGAAGGCCACGGGAAAAAGTGCGTTTGTGTTTTATTTTCTTACATTTTTAACAAAAATTTTCTTTTCTTCATGCTTACATTGAAAATATTACTAAATTTATTGAACTCGTTGGAATGATTCAGTACTGATCCTACATTCATTCCATATCCTCTTTTAACAGTTATATGGTATTAAAACAGACTGATTCTAATCTGCTGTTGAAAGATGTTTTACAGCAAAGTAGATTAATGTATGTAATTAATATCTTTTATATAAAATCTACATGTATTTTTCCAGATATTCTGCATCAATATTCGAATGTCAGCTGCAATCATCTAATCTACCAGACTATGTTTCCGTGGTCAATCAAAGTTGTGGAATTCCACTTCATATTCTAAATGTTGTCCCAAAAGAAAAGAAAGTTGCACAAAAACGACTGTTCACAGTATGCCTGGCCCCTCTAAATTTTAATTTCGATAATGATTCACAACTTATTGAATGGATAGAACTGAACAGAATTCTCGGAGCGGAAAAATTTATAATATACAACTTTTCATCTTCCGTTAGCGTTAAGCGCGTGCTTGATTTCTACTCAAAACGAGGCTTAACGGAAGTGGTGCAGTGGCAGGTACCAATGGCGGTTGATACTTATTCAGCACAAAACATTTCGGCCGATATTCATTATTTTGGCCAACTCGCTTCATTAAATGATTGCTTATACAGAAACAAAAACATTTCGGAATTTATTGTTAATTTAGATCTCGATGAATTCATAATCCCGCAGTCGGAGGAAATACTTACTTGGTTAGATATGTTAAAACAATTATACCAACAGGAGAGACATGCATTTTCAGCATACCTATTTAGAAACACATTCTTCTGCTTGGAATGGAATAACTCACTAATATCCACATTAAATACATCTTTTATAAAACATTACAACTTGGTTACGCTTCAAAAACTTGAACATGATAAAAATATTTTTCCAGCAAGAATAAGGTCGAAGTATTTTGCACGAACTTCTCGTGTATCAAATATAATGATACATGATATTCTTATGATACCGTATAAACAGCATTTTGTCGTACCTCCAACTATAGGACTTCTACATCATTACAGAAATTGTGAAGATTTATTCGTTTCTTCGGATGAAAGAAAACTCGTCACAACAGTAATGGATAAGTACGGAAAAACTTTAATTCATAATGTTTTAGGTGTTTGGAAAGAGTTGGGGAAAATCAATTAATAGCAAATAATGATTATCTTCCATAGAAAACAGTTGTCATAGAAATTATGAAATCAAGCGTGGTTAAGTATATTTAATGCATTTATAAACTGTTACTGAATACACGTCATGTTTGCAAGGACGGAACGTTTCATGGTATTATTATGTAACAATTTGCTGGTAAAATATACTTAACTTGTCAATGGTTGGCAAAAGATATGGTGGCTGATAAAATGCAAATCATAGTAATTCCGTATTAATAATTACAAAATTGTTTATCATGAAAGAGCTTAATACTGTATATCATTAGAAAGGTCTGTAAACTCATATTTCACACATTAAATATAAATTTTCAAAATGTTTTCCTTTTTTCTAAGTCAAGGGTTGAACTTGGACCTTTCCGTCAAACTTCGGACAAGAATATCAAAAAAAAAATAAATTTAATAGTTTAGTTAAGGTTGAACATCACAAAATAAATTGATGCTAAAGAGGCACATTTATTAAATAGTGATAATATATTCAGTCGATTTTCGTCGCGCAGGTTTTCATAACGGTAAGACGGTAGGGGGAAATCCCGGGATCCGCGAGGCCTAGGATCCGGGATCATTAGATACATAGAAAAAACTAATAAACTAAATACATTTATTTACAGTGTATATATCAAAAATAGTTTTGATGAAATGCAGAATATAAATTACGTTTAATTTTTATACGTTTATTTCTGTAATCGATTTCAATGCTTTTACATATCTTTTGACATTTATTTATATGTATATGCAAGATGGTTGACAATATGCAAATCTGAATAAATTATCTGTTCTGCTCACAAAAGCCGGCCAGGAATGTATTGTAACTTTCACGGCTTCTGTTTTGTGCCTCTAGCTGCAAGATATTATAGGAGATGCGTCTCCTGAACCTTGCCTTCTCCCTCCTCCCCTTTGATTACTTTATCCTCTCAAAGTCCTCATCATGAAATAAGTCAATACTTAAAACGACTTGGAAATGCCCTTATGAAAGAACTGGAAAAAAGGTAATTACTTGCAAAGGTAATTACTTGCGAAACACGGGTATCAGATATTGACATCTGTTTGTATATTGATTGATACAGTTGCATATGAAACTGAAAAATAGATCTAGCAAAACCTAATTAAGATGAGAACAATAAATCATTATTCAAGATGATGAAAAAATTGTCTATTGACTTGACAGAGAATAATTGTCTACATAGTCGAACTGCAAGATGTTTGACACTTTTACAAGGGAAAGGAAGGTAAAAGGAGAAGTAGGCTCAACATACGTACGTGTCTACGTGCCAATGTTAGTATTTGAGTTTTTAAAACAAACTTAAATAAGTTAATTTTTCATTATGTTAGCGTATAATTATCGGTAAATGCCTTAGTATAATCTTTACAAAATCCGGAACACATATACCGGAACATATATATATATATTATACAGGTTCAACTTCAAACAGGAAGTTACGTATATATATATATATCCCTTAGTAAAATATGATAGTTAATGATAACGATATTTTGCAGTGTTTCTCGAAATAAAATTTGCATTTACTACATATCAGGATGAACTTAATAAAATTCTGGCTGAAACCTATTGTTTGATATATTTGTAGGAATAAGTAATTTCAGACGTATAAAATGACACTGGCGGGGTTCCGTATATTTTAGCTTAAAGATCAAGGAAACAAAATTTTGCATATGTTCTTGTACCGGCTAAGTCCTCCCTCTTGGATGTCTATAATTATTCCACCGGACTACGGTCAAACTACATGTGTTTTATAAGCAAGTTTTTAGTTGTTAAACTTTTAGTTGTTAAACTTTTATTTTAAGGTACAAGAAAAAACAATATACTAACAGTCTAGGGATCAAAACATTTATATATAATATCTTTTTATATACATCCTGGAAGCATTTACATGCATCATTCTCTAATAATTATTATCATAAAACTTAAAGGAGATGCGTTTATGAAAGTCATTTTCACTATCCATCTAGTAAACTGCATCCATCTTTACATCTTTCAATATTGACCATATTTTAGCAACCCTTTCGATCAGGGTTTTACTGTATTTGCGCGGTATTGTGTCATCAAACACTTTTATCTCAGGAAGAGACATTTCATTCTCCCAGTCTCTATAGTGATGAAGAAGTCCAACTTCAACAGGCACAGAATGAGCTTTCTTCTTCGTCGGCAAAAACTGAACACCGTGAATCATAACCTGTCTGACATCAAATGTTCGAGCAAAGTATTTTGATCTTCGTTGTACAGGGAATATTTGCTGTTCGTGGTTTAACTTTTGAAGCGTTATAAGCCTGTATTTATCAACTAATTCCTTGCTTGACAGATAAACGTTTTCCCATTCTTTCCTAAAAAATGTGCTACGAAATATGTAAGCACCTGGTTCCATTGGAAGTTGTTTAATCATATAACTCCATTCACTAACATTGTCGTCATGGGGAACAATAAACTCATCTAAATCTATGTTGACTATAAATTCAGATTCAGCTTTGTTTCTATATAGACAATCCTGAAGTGCAGCTATCTGACCGAAGTAATGAATTTCTGGAAGCTTTGTTCCGTTTTTTGTGTCAGTATTCATTGGTAACCTCCATTGAACAATGTCAACCAAATGTTTACCCCTGTAGTAGTCCAGGGCGTCTGCTATATTATCTGATATGGAATGGTTATAAATTACAAATTTCTCGGCGCCCATTATTCTGTTCAACTCGATCCACTCGACTAACTCATAAGCACGACTGTAGTTGGTGTTCAATGGGGTTAGACAAACAGTAAAGCGACGTGGGTAACGCTCTGGTTGCAGCGTGTCACGTACCTTCAGTATATTAGCTGGGTTTGAACAAGGTGCCCTTACCACAGAGACATGTGATGGTAGGACATTGTGTGATGACAGTTTACACTCGAAGAAAACGGCTGAATACCTGAATTATCAAATACAGAATTAGTTCATAACAGTTTAGCACAATATCAATGATGTGTAAATGGGTGAGTAAATTTTATTAATAATGATTTTTGCATGATAACGATATTATGTAAGTTGTTATAAGTAAGATCATTTTAGCTAATTTCTAATAAAATAAATCACATTAATAATTGACAGTGTCTTGTTAGACAGTTTTCAATCATGACGCTAGACAATCAAGTAAACTTGACGTAGGCTTCTTTTATTACACACGTACGTCAAATCCGAGGCAAACAAGATTTATACAAATGCCTTTGAAATACTTTAGGGGAAAATGAACAAAACGTAAAGGGTAAATAATTTCATTGCTTTTATACTTAGTCCCATAACTACCGAAATGCAATTATCTTATGTGTGCATCATGGTAGTGTATTTTATTTTTTAACTGAATTGAAATACTAAATGTAATGTAATCTAAAACTGTACAGGAGAACCTATAACAGGATATCAAATCGGTTCTCCAAAGATCATATTAAGACAAGTTATTACTATGAAACGCTTTACATACCATAGATGATGACCTTCTGGGAGCTGTTTAACGCTGGCATCAACTTGTTCCGCAGTATATTTCCCATTGTTCTCATGCCAAAGAAGACAGAAAAATCGCATGTGATGCTGTGACCTAGCTCCGATAATAATGATAGTTTTAGTTTTCTCTACATAATACGAGGAAAACACAAACGCTGTCTTATTGTCAACGGCCTGCCAATTATCATTTTCTTCTACACGAGCATCAAAATCAACATCGTTGCATTTTCTTCCAAGAGACATCATTTTCTTTTTTCGTGTTTGACTTGTGTTATGAGCAATTATGTCCACCATTTGCCTCGTTGTAACTGTAGTTTGTAATAGTTTGGTTAATATCCTACCTGGATTGTCACGGACAGATGCACCATACTTATCATTATACTTGTCTTTCCTATATTCAGTGTGTAGTGTTGTGTTATCTATCGTCTGATTTGTCGCCTGTCTCCGTTCGTACATGAATATCAGCACATCCTTTTTTCTTGTTGATATAGCGTTTAATCCTGTAAAATTCTGGTAAAATATCACATGAAGTGTAATCAGGAACACTTGAACTAAAATAACCCAAATGCATACCCTTCTAATTTTAAATCTCATGGGAGTATTTGATATTACTGTTTTATTTCATGAATTCCTTCAAACATGTAGCACTACGAGTATTAATATCCTTATACGAACAATGCATTATTTGATTTTAATACGCATGGTATAAAATAAAAGAACAATAGTTCAAGATGAAATCAGTATACTTTACCGGTTATATGTTGATAAATGTTTATAAAACAATCTATGCATACCCGATACAAGAAAAGATCATTGATGATATTGTTAATTTTCTATAGTGACTAACTAAAACGGGTTTAATTCAATAATAGCTATTTTATCACATTGTAACAGTTTGAATGTTAAGTTGAAGATACATGTAGTTAAACACACATTTTAAGAATACCATTAATTGACATACACTTTAATTGACATTCGTGACACTTTTATTTTATTTCGTTGAAACATAATATATTTCATAAAAATGTAATGATATTTTGTAAAAACGAAGTAACATTTCATTAAAAAAGGCATTTTTTACTTCGTTAATGCTTATTGATACATAAAACATGCGAAAACTCTGATTCAAAAGCGTCCTCGTGCCTCTGCAGATGTTAATAGATAACGCGTTGGATTGTCAAACGGGGGGCCCGGATTCGATTCCTGGGCAGTGAAGGTCACTTTATATGTGATTGATCATGAACTCCTTCCTATGGTCATGCGCTCTTTACCTCTAATCTGCATGTACAGAAGTTATCAGTTCATTGCAAAAGTGGAGGCAAGTTATTTGCTAAACTGCTTGACAGTCTGTCCAGAAACGATTTGATGACTCAAGTGTGCACTGACGCCTTCAAAGTGGCTAACTTTTGTGATCCTAAAAGAAACCTACCATCCCACCATTATATATCGGATTTTACAATATGGAGATTGGGCACCGTAATAATTTATACTCAGTATTTTTTAAGACTAAGAAATATCTTTCTCGTTGCTAAAGTATTATATTTGAAAAAATAATTAAATAGTCTCAAAGTACATGGTTGATTTAATCTTAGTGAATATTTCCTGAAAATTTGGACATTAAGTTTTTTCTTAACAAAACATACTGTTTATTTTGGTTGTTAAAGATATTTTGATATACAAACGTTAGGTGCAGATGGGTTCTGTTTTTTTAAGTCACTATTGACAGCAACAAATATGTCTCATGGTGGGTGTTATTTCATTTACTGAAAAATGCTTCATTACCACTGAAAATCGGTGCACAAAATTTGGCAAATGAACTATCAAATATTGCAA